TTGAGGTTGAGTTGAGTAGAGTCGAGGTGAGTATGTTTCCTTTTTATCAGCTCAAGCTTGAAGTTTATGTTCAGTGTTCCCCTTACATGCTCGTACATCCCATGTACTGATGCCATTTGGCCTACATCTTTCATGATGCAGATAAAGGTAACCAAGATCATCAACCAGCGCTTCGTTGATCCAATCGAGTTCTAGATTTTTTTGGTGACCCTCCTTGCTTCTGGAGGATCCCTCATTTATTTTTGTCATGTTATTTCAATTTTTTTAGGATGTTCGGGGGTATTGTCCCGACATCTCTCATAGTATTAAAGGCTTCATAGATAGATATACAGTAGTTCATGAGTCTTTTCCATTTTCAGTTATTAATGTTTAAAGACATGAGTTGCCTCTTTGGCCAGTTGAATGTTTCCTTTAAGAACTTTCTGAGTTTATTATTTGAGTTTATCTTTTATGATTATTCTATGATAAGTAAATCTTCCGCTGAGAGTTAAGCCAGGCCAAGGGTACGCTTGGGGCCAACAATGGTTCTCGAGTGCCGACCACGTCCAGGATGTAGGCTCGGGCGTGACAAACTTGATATCAAAGCATAAAGTTCAAGAGTCTTTGGATGTCTATGAAGCCATGTCTATAGAGTCCTAGGTATCGGTGTGAAGCGCGCCACATCTATAATTAGGAGGCTGTGACATTTAGGAGTTTTCTCACTTCTTTCATACTCTTTTCATGTGATAGATTTTAACTCTATAAAGTTTATTTCTAATTCGTGCTTGCACGTATCTTTCAGATCATGCCTCCACGAAGAGCTGTTTGATGTCATCCTTTTAGGAGGAATGTTGATCCTTAGGATTAAGGGGTACCCAATGCACCAGAAGTGAAACCCTAAGGAGAGGTCACTAATGTTGAGTTTCAGGAAGCTATCCAGATGTTGAGTCAAGTGGTGGCCAATCAAGCTAGTCAGTAGAGAGGGGATAGACAGGATGTGGTTGTTACATCCAGAATCTGTGAGATATTAAGGATGAATCCTCCAAACTTCACCGGTTCAAGTGTCACTGAGGATCTGGAAAACTTTGAGGAAGAGTTGTAGAAAGTTTTTGAGGTTATGCATGTTGTTGATGTTGAGCGAGTGGAACTAGTTGCATACCAACTGAAGGGTGTTGCTAGGGTATGGTTTGACCAATGGAAGAAGAATGGAGTTGAGGGAGCACCAATTGTGAGTTGCGCTGTGTTCGAAGAGTCCTTCATGGGGCATTTGTTTCCCCGTGAATTGAGAGAGGCAAAGGTAAGGGAATTCCTCACCCTTAAGCAGGAATCCATGAGTGTGCATGAGTACAACCTCAAATTCACCCAAATATCCCGTTATGCTCTGGAGATGGTTGTTGATATGAAGAGTAGGATGAGTTTATTTGAATCTGGGTTGTCTCGCTTGTCAAGCAAGGAGGGCAAGGCAGCTATGTTGATAGGAGACATGGACATAGCAAGGCTGATAATTCATGTGCAGCAAGTTGAGGAAAATAACCTGAGATAGAGAAGAGTTTTGAAACAAGAAAGCTAAGACAATAGAAAATGAGTCTGGACAGTAGAAGAGTAATGTGAACCGATCATCTTTTCGACAAAAGCAAAATAGACCTACTCCATCATCTGCTATGCACCTACACCAAGGAATAGATGTGAACTTAAGAATCAGAATTCTCAGAACTTCAGAGCTAGACCTGCACAACCTCAAGGTAGTGAGGTACGAGGTAATGGGACTCCTACATGTGCTAAGTGTGGTAGGAACCACTCAGGAGTGTGTCGTGATGGATCCACGGGTTGCTTCAAGTGTGGTAAGAATGGTCATTTTATTTGAGAGTGCCCAAAGAACATGCAGGGAGGTGGTAATGGGGGAAATAGAGCCTAATCCTCTTCAGAGGCTCCACTAGACAGAGTTGCACCTAGAGGAGCTACTTCAAGAACACGCAGATGAGCAAACCATTTGTATGATATCACTAGTCACCAAGAGCAAGAGAATTCGCCAGATGTTGTCACTGGTATGATCAAAGTCTTTACTTTTGATGTTTATGCATTGCTAGATCCAAGTGCGAGTCTATCTTTTGTGACTCCATATGTAGCTATGAGGTTCGATATTATTCCTGAACAACTTCTTGAGCCCTTCAGTATTTCTACACATGTTGGTGAGTCTATTTTAGCTAAGAGAGTTTATCGTGATTGTACCATTTCTGTCAATCAAAAGGACACCATGGCTGACTTAGTTGAGTTAGCTATGGTAGATTTTGATGTTATTCTAGGTATGGACTAGCATCATGCATGTTATGCCTCAGTCGATTGTAGAACTTGAGTAGTTAAGTTCTAGTTTCCTAATGAGCCAGTTTTTAAGTGGAGGAGTAGTTCAGCTATGCCTAAGGGTCATTTTATATCGTACCTTAAGGAAAGAAAGTTAGTTTATAAGGGCTGCATCTATCACTTAGTCTGAGTTAATGATTATAGTGTTGAGACACCACATATTCAGTCAGTTCCAGTTGTGAGTGAGTTTCCAGAGGTCTTTCCAGATGATCTTCCCAGAGTCCGTTCTGATAGAGAAATAGACTTCGGTCTAGATATTCATCTTGATACTCGTCCTATCTTTATTCCGTTGTATAAAATGGATCCAACTGAGTTGAAAGAGTTAAAAAAGCAGTTGAAAGTTCTCCTTGAAAAAGGCTTTATTCAACAAGTGTCTCAAATTGGGGTGGTTCGGTCTTATTTGTGAGGAAGAAAGATGGTTCTCTTAGAATGTGTATAGATTACCATCAGTTGAACAAGGTTGCTATGAAGAATAAGTATCTTCTTCCGAGAATTGATGATTTATTCGATCAACTTCAGGGTGCCACTTGTTTTTCTAAGATAGACCTCAGATATGGCTATCATCACTTGAGAGTAAGAGAATGTGACATCCCTAAGATAGCTTTTAGGACCCGATATGGTCATTATGAGTTTATGGTCATGTCTTTCGGTTTGACTAATGCTCCTGCAGCGTTCATAGATTTATGAACAGTGTGTTTAAGCCTTATCTATATATGTTTGTTATAATGTTTATCGATGACATTCTAATTTATTCAAGGAATAAGTAAGAGCATGCTAGTCATCTCAGAGTAGTTCTTCAAACTTTCAAGGATAGAGAGTTGTAGGCTAAATTCTCTAAGTGCAAATTTTGACTTGAGATTATGGCATTCTTAGGCTACATTGTTTCTAGTGATGGGATTCGAGTTGACACTCAGAAGATTGAGGTAGTGCAGAACTGGCCTAGACCCCATTTCCAACTGATATTAGAAGTTTCTTGGGATTGATCGGCTATTATAGAAGGTTTTTCGAGGGGTTCTCATATATTTCATCCCCTTTGACCAAGTTGACTCAGAAAACAACAAAGTTTCAATAGGCTGAAGCTTATATGAAGAGCTTTCAGGAATTGAAAACTAGGTTGACTATTACCCCAGTGTTGAACTTACCAGAATGTTTGCAAGGTTTTATTGTGTACTGTGATGCGTACAGAGTTGGACTGGGTTGTGTATTGATGCAGACTGGCAAAATTATAGCTTATGCCTCCCGACAACTTAAGATTCACGAGAGGAATTTTATCCAACCCACGATCTAGAGTTGGTTGTTGTAGTGTTTGCTTTGAATGTGGCGTCACTATCTTTATTGTGTTCATGTAGATGTGTTCACCGATCACAAGAGCCTTCAGTATGTGTTCAGTCAAAAAGAGCTTAATCTTAGACAGAGGAGAGTGTTGGAGTTACTCAAGGATTATGACATAAATATTCTCTATCACCCAAGTAAGGCTAATGTTGTTGTTGATGCTTTGAGCAGATTGTCTATGGGTAGTACTGCTCATGTTGAGCAAAGGCAAGAAAGAGTTAGCCAAAGATGTGCATAGACTTGCATGATTAGGAGTCCGACTAATGGATTCCAATTAAGGAGAAATAGTGGTGATGAATGGGGCTGAATTGTCACTAGTGTCTGAAGTGAAAGAGAAACAAGACCAAGATCCTATTTTGCTTGGATTGAAGGCAAATTTTCATTAAAAAAAGTGATGGCTTTTGAACAAAGGGGAGATGGTGTTGTGAGATATTAAGGTAGATTGTGTGTACCAAGGGTGGATGAACTCCAAGAGAGGATCGTGGAGGAAGCTCATAGCTCCAGATACTCTATCCATTCGGGTTCCACAAAGATGTATTGCAACTTGAGAGAAGTATATTGGTGGAGTAGCATGAAAAAGTGTATCACAGAGTTTGTTACTAAGTGCCCGCATTGTAAGCAAGTCAAGGTAGAGCGCCAGAGGCCCGGTGGTATGGCTTAGTACACAGATCTTCTGGAATTGAAGTGGAAGATGATCAATATGGATTTCATTACAGGTTTACCACGGTCTCGCAGGCAGCATGATTCGATTTGGGTGATTGTAGATCGAATGACTAAATCAGCCCATTTCTTATCGGTAAAGACTACCTTTTCAGCATAGGACTATGTTAAGTTATATATTCAAGAGATAGTCTGACTTCATGGAGTTCCAGTGTCCATTGTTTTAGATAGAGGTGCATAATTTTGGAAGTCTTTCCAGAAAAGTTTGGGTTCCAAGGTAAATTTGAGTACTGTTTTTCATCCTCAGACTAATGGTCAAGCAGAGCATAGACTTTAGAGGATATGTTTAGGGCGTGTCTGATCGATTTCAAGGGTAGTTGGGATAATTACTTACCTCTAATTGAGTTTGCCTACAGTAACAACTATCACTCTAGCATCCAGATGGCTCCCTATGAGGATCTTTATGAAAGAAGATGTAGATCTCCTATTGGATGGTTTGAGGTTGGTGAAGCTGGGTTGATAGAACCATATTTGGTTCTCCAAGCTATGGAGAAGGTGAAGACTATTCAAGAAGGGTTGAAAACAGCGTAGAATCGTCAGAAATCCTATACCGATGTTAGGAGAAGAGACTTAGAGTTTGAGGTGGATGGGTTTACTTGAAAGTTTCACCCATGAAGGGTGTTATGAGGTTCGACAAGAAAGGGAAATGCAGTCCCCAGTATATTGGTCCTTACAGGATATCCAAGAGGATTGGTAATGTAGCCTACGAGTTGGAGCTACTGTCAGAGTTAGCAGTAGTTCATACGGTGTTTCACATTACTATCTTGAAGAAGTGTATGGATGATTCTTCGCTTATTAGACCGACTGAAAATATTGGTATTAAGGATAGCCTGTCTTACGAGGAGATTTTCGTTCAGATTCTAGATCGTCAGATTCGAAAGTTAAGGACCAAGGAAGTAACATCATTCAAGGTCTTATGGAGGAATCAATTTGTTGAGGAACCTACTTGGGAGGGTGAGGAGGATATGAAAAAGACATATCCACATATCTTTGAGCCCGGAGAAATTCCCAATGAAGGTATTAATTCTTTTCTTGGTACTTTTTAAGTTGAAATATTGTGTTAAATTTCATGTTGGGTGTTTCAGTTGGGTGTTAGATGTTATCACCCTTAATCTACTTAGAGTAATCTCATTTGACAACGAATGTTCACAAGGAGAAGATATTTTAACATTCCGCCTTACAAAGAGTTAAATTTAGAAAGAACTAATTTGAAAAAAGCCAAATCTGGAATTTTACAAGTTATGCTTAAGTTGTGAGTTTTGAGTTAACTTCAAACAATCATAACTTTCAGTGCAGGATGAATTAGGTGGCCCATAAGATATCAAATAAAAGCTCTTGGAATTCTCTTTCCAACGCCACCAAGTTTACTAAAGTTCGAGCTCGGATTAGGGAGATTCTCCCTTTTGAAGTTAGCCTGCCCAGTTAAAGAAAGTTAAACGAATTAGTGAGGGGTATTTAGGTCTTTTCTTTAACCCATCATATTGAAACGAAATTAGTATTATTTTGGGGTCAAATCTGTTTTGGGTCAGTTTTGCAAATCCTAAATTACGCTTACGGTTTTAGAAGAGAGTTCAAGAAAAGGAAAAATAGGAGAAAAGGAAGAACGAACAAGGTTTTCACATATCGAGGATTTGTTTCGCCAAACGGAGGTATGTAATTTTTCATAATGTTGAGTTTGTTCTCCCACACGCCAATCATGTTTTACATTATCGAATTCATCCATAAAGATTGAGAAATTTAGTTCTTGATGAGTTTCTGGAAGTGTTGTTATTCGTTCTTGAACTTTGATGTTTGGTTGAGTTCTTGAGGCAAAGATTTTGTTAAGGAGTTGAGTAAATCGATAGTTGTTGGGTGGGTTTCGCTAAAATTGTTTTGGGTTATAAGAATTCGAGAGTTTTTACCTTAGAATTTCAGTGGGTATGAGTTCAATCAAGTTTGGGAGAGTAAGAAAAGCTCGGGCAGTATTTCGTACCTAGGTTCGCATAGTGAACTTGCTCCCCCAGAGAAATTTTTCTCTCCGCATCGCGGAGAGAACGCAGAGAGAACGCGGACTCCACTATTTCATAAATTATTTCACTACCAAATATTTTAATTTATCTTCGCGTCACGCCCTTGCACCCCAGAAAGTGTTTTTCGCTCGTTTCTTATTACTAACTATCTAAAACTCATTTAATCATCACGAAATCCTTCATATCATAGATCATAACCTTGAATTCATAATTCAAATTCAAGGTAGAGTTAAGAGTTAAGTTTCAAGAGTTTCGAGTCATTTTGAGAAGTCTTTTACAATCTTTTAAACTTGTTTTAAGTCTTGAGTACTTGAGTTGAGGAAGAGTAAAGTTGGGTTTCGTTTTTTTAAAAATGAATATATGGGAACTAAGTATTCCCAAGAGTAAATGTTTTTACATTTACGATAAGAGGAAACACCGATTTCTGAAAGAATTCATGAGGAGTTTTGAGTAGTATCTCTTTTAAAAGAAACCTTTTGAGTAATAATCTCAAAGTTGAGGAAGAGGAACTGGTTTTTTTAAAAAATATATGAGCTAAGTTATATTTTGGGAGTAGTATTAAGCATCGATACAGTGGAGAGTTCTGACAACTCACATTCCCCATAAACCATGTAGCCAACGTGGGTAGAAAGGGTCATACTTTTTAGATGATTCCTTATTGATATCTAAGCATAGCTTAGTGGATCCACTTAGTTGAGGAGTTCTATACCCCAGGAAGGTATAGGACAGTTCTGGCAGCGTGGGCGAGAAGTTGTATTATCACATAACTCATAGTGATGGTAGTCGGTTAGAGGATCTCTCAACAGAGTTATTTTGTATTTTTACATACAAATTGAGTTCTTATTGTATTTTTAGATACATTGAGTTGTTATCTATTGTTTTACATGCTTTATATAAACTACACTTTTATCGGCATTTTATATTGTATTGAGTTGAGTATCTATGACTTGACGTTGAGTTGAGTAGAGTCGAGGTGAGTATGTTTGTCACGCCCCGAGCTACCCCCGAGACGCGAACACGGGACCTAGGACCACAAGTGATCCCAAGCTAACTCTGCTGGCATGATCATGAGCATACTAAATATAATCTGAATAATAGAAACTAAGCAAAAGCTAAATCAAAAATAAGATGAAAAGATGGGGAATACCCATATACTATAACTGAGATAAATGAAAACTGATGAGTTTAATACAAGGAAGATATTAACTCAATACTAAGCTGAATCTATCTATGTCTGAAATAACCCTCTAAACTGACTATAAATGTTGGGACATGCCCCAACTAGATCTAGCAAAACTGAAACTAAAGACTAAAGCGATAAAGATAAACATCTCACTAGTCCTCGAAGAATGAGGACTCACCACTGATATCGCTGAACTGGAGACCAGGAACCGATCTAAGAGTGATCTGAATACTGAGAACCTGAACCCACATCACGAGAAGATGTAGCGCACGTATGCGTCAGTTCTTGAAAGGTACTGAGCATGCAGGATAGAGTATAGCTGAAAGAACATATAACTGAACAAAGCAGTAAAACAATGAAATAATCTTAACATGATATAGATACTGAAAATACTGAATACTGAGCTAACTGAATGCAACGACCAATTTATAACTTGTTGACTGAATACTGAATGAACTGTAAATGTGGTCAATGCAATAGAGTCTGACTGAACTGTGGGAGCTACTAATAACCAACATAAAACCACATGAGCTAAATGTGGAGTCCGATGTATACCCCCCAT